TTTAAGAAATTTAAAAATCACTCACAAAAGAGCCAGGAAACAAAGTGATAACAAAAGAACTGTGCTGAGGCTCTTGTTGAGGCTATATTTGAATTACAATTCAATTTTTAAATGTCTTGAGGTTTGCTATTCCCATAAAACCTAGTACTGCTGTCTGACATTCAGATACCTCACCCACCAATTACTTAACATGTAATGGAGTTTCTTATGTACATAATTGTCATTTGTGAAGTTATCAGATATAGCCTTTTATAACTAAAAAATTTCAATTTCTTTACTGAAGGAAAGGGAATTAATTTATTCAAAACTTTAGGAAATCAAATACCTATAATTAATAGACATCAGCCAGAAACAGCTCCCCAAGAGAAGGAATGGACATCTTACCATACATATGACTGAAAACCATTAAACAAGTGCCATCTACCTAGAGGGAACAATCTTGGTCAGGGATCTCATTTAGTTCCAATTTCTCTGATCTGATGGCTCTACAGCAAAGTCATCATTTTGTACTCTGTGACTGTGTAAGATTTCCAGAACCTTCTGGGCATCAGACTGCTTATGGAGTAAAAAGATAAAATACTGCTACTATCAGCAAAAGCTTTAATCACTTCTTAAAACTAATTTTTAATACATCTCTATACAAATCGACTATCTCTTTGAGTCAAAGTCTAAAAAACTGCCATGTAATGAGTGGCCACTAGTAGGAGCCACTAGGAGCCAGAGCATTAGATGGCTTTGGCCACTAATGAGGATCTTAATTTTATCTTCTGATCCCATTCTAACAAATCTGGAAACCGGATGGCGTGTTACTTCCAGGGCGATCTGCACATCTTGGTCAGGATGTTACCAGATGGTTATCATACCTCCACGTAACTACTGTTTACACTGCCCTGGTGCACCTCTGCTATCACCAGCCACCTATGCTTAGAGCACACAGTGAATGCTGCTCTGAACCCCTGCTACCTAGCCTAGTTCAGAAATCTGTGCTTTTCTTCCAGGATATTCTTTGACTCGACAGCCTCTTCTTACACCAAAATACACATATCTGAGGTGTATTTGTGAAGCAAAAACATGCTTAAACTAAGTGGGAGGTTAATGTTTCATATGTAAAACAAGGATTTACTGATGCGTATGTCAGAGGATGGTTTTAACACAAAATGTAAACCGCATCAATATTTGTACTTTTCTTTCAGGCATAAATTTGTTTTTTATGTTTCATTATTACTCAAAAGTAGTCCCACACTCCAATTCACACTCAACGGGCTATTTTAGCAAGAAAAAGGTAGGAAAGGCAGTCTATGGACTCTTCCAACTCACTGTGATCTGGAGATCAAAAGTTTAAAGGCCCATGATTAATACTTCTACCTCACTCAGATGGAAATGATCTAATAAATCAAAATAAATAAGATACACCAAAAGGTAGTACAACCTGAAGATACATACTTTTCAAGTCCTAAACTAATAGTAGCTATCCACATAGTACGAATTTTAGGATTTTAAATATTAATTCTCTCCTTGGAATAAATATCCGAATGTTTCAACCCAAAAGTTATGATAAAGGCAAGGAATGCTCAAGATTCCAAGTTGCAGACAGGCACAGACAGGGGGGCTGGCTGCCACTGCCTTC